TTGCACTGCCTCAATTCTGCATGTTTCCACAGACTCCTCTGGGCTCTGTGCACATAAAAAGAAGGTCACAGGCTAGCAGCACATGTAGTTGGGAAAATTCTTAATTTACAAACACCGCTGCACAAAAATGCAATTATTCTCCTCCCATTACTCCTTCTCACTTCAATAAATTGTCAAAATAAGTCGTATGTTGTGACATCAGTGTTGGAAGTTTTTATTTAATAAAGCCTGCAGACAAACGGTGAGCGGCAGCTAACATCCCTTAACCAAAAAAGAACAAAAACCCAAGCTTGGTGGGAGCAGCCATCGCACAGGGCAAATGATCAGCAGTCTCTCCTGAACCCAGAACAGTCCTGGGTTAAATACTTCCTACAGGAATAATAGGTTGTACACAGCTGTTTTCACACCTTTGGTCTTCCCCAAAAAGAAAGTTCACACTCCCTTGCTACTTCTTACAGTAGTTGAAACCAAAAGACTCTTCCCCCCACTCTAGAGTCTTTGTGTGTGAATGCTTCCCCCACAACTTCCGGAGATACTATCTGTTAACAGCATGAGGCTACGTCCACACTAATGTGTTTTCAAACGAAAAACAATCTATCCAGCTGGTGTGGATGTAGCCTGATTGTGTGAGACACTGAGACATGATAAAAACCAGCAGCACCAGAGCATTATACAATAAATAATGTGAATAACACATAAATAAAATGAATTCCTTTTACATCAACAACAATAACATATTTTTGTTGCAGCACAATGGCTCTAACATCAACACATCCAAAATGATGTACCCAGGTATACCTAACAGAATTACTAAGATTGTCTTTCAGTCTTTCAGCTCCCACTATGGTCTCACATGAACTCGCACAGCACGTATCTGGGCCAGCTGGAGGCTCAGACGAACCCAGCCAGCAGTTTTTATTGTGAGCTGGGGGTTGACAATGAAATTTAGGTCATCCTTCCTTTGCTCCTAGCTCCAAGCTGGCTGTGACAAGTCTAGGTTTTGGCATGGAGCAGAATATAACCAAGAACAATCATAGAGAGGCTGTGCATGGTAAAGGTGGCATGTAGGGATGCACCGATACAGATACCGGTATCGGCCTCGATACC